GAATACTCTAACGAAAACAAACATTTGGGTTTGTTGTTCTTGAGCAGTCAGAATGAGAACTGCTATATGGTTAGGTATACGCGCGGAAAGAATAAAAACTCAGCAGGCCTGTGTGCTGAATTTAAGCGTCAGGTTTTGTAAAAAATAAAAGAATTCCCCTGAGCTTTGGAGTATCATTATTAGTAGGATTAGTGGCAGTAGTAATAGTAGTGACAGAAACAGCATTTGGAGCCCAACAGACTGCGTCAGTTCGAACAGCAACACGACTGATGTCACGGACAGGGATAAGAATAGTCCATTCGCAAATGAGTCTTCGTTTCGAATAGAGTAAAACCAGTTTCAGTTTTTACAACAGTTAAGCATGCATTGTTATGCACCGGCTTTGGTTGTTGTCTTTTGGCTGTTCATTTGGATAAAAGAGCAAAGGGCACATTGCGAGCAGAACCGAAGAAGGTAGAGTTTACACAGACCAAGATTGCAAAGATAATTCAAAGATACTGCCGCTGTTTGCGACACTCAGTGCCCCCAACCATCGATTACCATGATCTCCTCATCCATAGAACCTCACGGTACCTATGTGACCGAGTCTCCTGGTAAGGGTTTTCATAGAGTACGACCGGTGATAGATTACACAAATTAGTCCATGATAAACCTGTGAAGCGAACAAGCACGTACTAGGTGAAACACGTATACATCCCGTTGTCCGATAGTCTGGAATCTGCTCCACGTGATGGAACACTTGTAAAAGTAGGGCATTTCCCTCTTAGTCCGGAATGCGTTCCGGCAAAAGTGATCATATGTCATCAAACTGATTCTTGCCCATGATGAATCAACAACAACAGTCGACGGAAGCGACGCGATGGAGATAATTTATCCAGACTTCCTCAGAGCATTCAATCGAGTGAGCTAACATACATCGGGAAACAATCTGCACGAGGACAGCATTCTGTCTTACGTTTAATTGTGAAAAAGCAATTCTCCGACAATGTGATCGGTCATCGGCATTTCTGGTCCGCGATCCGCTTTGTTCAACGGTGATTGCACAGAAATATATGCTTGGCCCCCGGACTGTTAACTGCGTTTGTTCTGGGGCCACAAATAATGCTGTTTAAACAAGGCCCCGAAATCCAAGGGTTCGCTAAAATTTCAACTATAGGGAGCACTTAGCGCAAGAAACTAATGCTTGCATTCTTACCGCCACAAAAATCGACTTCGATATTTCTTCGGAAATCAACAACTACCATAGGTTCTAAAGGGGGTGGGATCAGAATTATCAGCGGTCGTGGGGCTTAAGGTGTTCTACTAGCTGTGTTATGGCATCATTCACAGTTTTAGTGCAATTAACTCAAGTTTGTCATTTGATCGTTTGGAATTGACACGCTCCTCACGTCTGATAAAAGCGTTTAAATACACTCTATTACGATAAATCTCAAGGAGACTGGACTTCGATGTATAGAATAATTAAAAATCCGAATCACACATGTTCATATTGACCTTCAAAGTCTATAGCAGAATAAATCCATCGAAATTAGCGTCCCGAAAATGTTGAATAGAATGCCCGTATCGCTTCTTATACTCATTTCAAATAGAGGCCAACTCAGCGTACACAATGACCACATTTTACATAAAGTGCCGGACTCGGCAGATAGAGCAGAGGCCTAACTCTTTCACCAAGACAACATCACATATAGAAAGGATTAGAAATGAGGGTTTGGTTGATTAGCTCCGGCTCTTGTCGCGGTAGGATATGGCCCTGCTGGCTTACGGCTTAGAGTTTGGAGTCGAAGGGCCAGGTTAGGAATCCTAAAGAGAAACCTTTTCATCGGGATGAGCTACTGCGAAATATGTCATGTCCTCAAATCTCAGCATCTATTCGGAAAACTCTTTCCTATAAATGTGATTCTTTCTCACTGATCCCTTAACCATTGCAACCGACCATTTTGAAGGACAGAGTTTATCAATGCTTTAGTCTCATGCCCTTACTTCTTTATTGTATAAGGTAGCGCTAATCACCTTTTAGGGACGAAAGCAGGCAGTCCACTACTTCCCACATTCTTATATCTTTGGCTTGCAGAGACCAGGATTAACACCTGTAAACGAGTACAGGGAGGTAGCGGGATGGTAAGCATGAACTTGTGTGTAGCGGTTGATTTTGCTACGGGTTCAGTGTTCGCTGCAACTCATAAACAGCTGGCTTGTCGATGTCGATTAATAGAACCACTCCATCTTTCGCCTGGCAAATTAGGAGTGAGGTATTTGAATAACAGCGCGCACTTGGTGGCATGACTGTTGTGGAACAGCTGCCGGGCAGGAGAAATGATCTGCAGGACGGACTTCGCGAAAAAAATGATAGCTAAGTCGAGGGCTAAACGGGTTGTAGCATCTCCCGGGACGACGACATCGTTCACGAACTCCAAATTCGATATGCATTTCTCGCGATTCATCTAGACGATAGAGTGACTAGTCAGTGCCTATCTTACTATTTAGTCGACGTCCCAGTTGAACAGTACCAGGGAAGCGAGAAAACTTCATCTGATTCCGATGTTGTGTGTCAAGCTCACGTCGTGCGTGCAACAACAGTTGATTTTTTTAAGCTGAGGCTTAATAAAACACTAATAGGCATCGCATTTCAACGTCCGAAAACCTATCATTTATAAAATAACCAAGCAGACAAAGAAAACTTCGGTCAGTGTTCATTCATAAAACTCTCACTTCGTACGGCTGTGATGGGCGACATAAGGTTGTCCACATGTCAACACCATCTAATTGATCTTCTTCAGTGTGAGCTCTTTAGCAGTGGGAACATGCGACGCCTTGTCGTTAATTTCAAATTGACCATTCCAAGGACAAAATATCGAAAACTTATTTTTTGAAGGTGGCGATGGAACCTGGAACAAAAGGCTGGAAGCAACAGTCAACTCGATATGATTTCGAGGATGGATTGCGTTTGTTTGAACAAACAGTCTGCTACCATTGTATAATGAAATTACTGGCCTGTGAATAAGCACCATCAATGAATAAATACCCAAGGATCTTGAGAGAATTTTGATTAAGTTCTAGGAGAGGCTCTAGTTCAGAGTAATGGTCTGAAAGTAGCATAGATTTCTACTTGGAGGAGATTCTGATGATATCCAACAGACACTATCTGGTCAACAACCCGATGAAATACAATCATCACCTCGATTGTATTCGTAAGAATACATGATGCACACGATCAGGCAACCTGAAACCGGGCCACGGAGATCAGAAATAAGGTATAGTCACACTAAATGACACTTCAGTGGTAAAAATGGGGACGAATGGGCTCCAACTGACATTTGAATTGCGCACGTTTATTTTTGATCCTTCAATCTACCCTATGAAGACGAAATGCACCAAAATTCATAGGACTGGATAAAATTAGCATGTGGTCTTGAGAACGTGGTGACATTCCCACAAGATTGAACAATCAACGAAACCGACTAACCTGAATGCGATGCTTTAAATTGGTTCCATTCCGTGAAAGCTTTTGATAAATCAATGTATTTCTCAACGAACCAACACGGACCCACTTCAAATATCCCGCCACCGTTCGAGTCGTTCCAGAGGGAATTGATTATAGTGTAAGTCACTGACTCAAGCGGTAGCGTCATCTTAAGTCGTTTGGCTGTACCATACTGAGTTGTCTGCAATAAGGTTCACTCCATCCCCGAACCGAGGTTGGAGCTTTAAGTGAAGTGTACAGTTTAAAACATGGTGAATCCAAACCCGGAACGCCTCATTTTACTTATAAATTATTGGAGTCTGATTCGGGAATCGTGATTGGATCAGCGTATTTCGCCAGATGTTGTTTATAGAATACTACTTTGAGACTTTTTGAATCCACTAAATCTCTGACACTGTTCGTTCATCTCAATGCTACCCCTTTAGATGAAATGGTGGAAGGAAGGATCGGAATGTCAAAACCGTGCCAAGATCAAACAGATCATTTATGTAAACTCAGGAGGCAAGAACATGGAGATAATCCACAAGCGTTACTGCTTAGTCTACATGTAAACTCTTGGAATGTGTTTGCAGTTTATGGAAATCGAAAAGGTAGAACAATATTTAGTTTCAGAAATCAGAATCCATTCCATTATTGCAGTATATTACTATACGGTCAACTAAAGAGTGGTGGTGATAGTCAAGCGGTTTGAGTAGCTGACACTCGTGAACTCCGAAATTTACCATTGGTCACCCTCGTCGAAATTCGACGGGAGAGTTATACTGTTGTCCAAGTAAATAAATAGTTAGACCGAAGAGTGTCATATGATGTTTCATCAGGGTTCAGGAAACCGGATAGCATGCCTAAACAGTATGTTTTTATGACTGAAAATTTTGCTTATTGTACTATTCGTGATGCCACAGCAGGTAATAAAAAAAGATAAACTATACGGTGGTTTGGAGTGCTGGTTATGATGTAATTAGAAGTTTCATGCACACACGACTAGGACGAATCACAGGCAAGGCAGCAGCAGTTCCCAGCTGAATCCGGTCGGTGTAGGCCACCATTTACAACACTCCGTCCACAAATGAGGCCTAAAGCAGGAAGTGATGAAAAGAACCCGATCGACATTTCATTCGTCAGTGCACCATCGATTGACCGCGGTCCACAGTTTGGCCACCGCTTGCAAGGAAAGGAGAGAAAATTTTTTAAAAAATGACCTCACTACCACAGTAGGACAAATGGAACACATGCGGGGCAGAAAGAAAGGGACAGGGGGTGAAATGGTGGTGGTGGTTTCCGGTTCAGGTTGAGATTGTCGGGATAAGAGATAAGGGGATTTGCAAACGAAGCAGTCGAGAATAACATCATTGGAATTGGTCGTATAAACGAAGTATGAAGGGAAAAAGGCAGGAGCTCCGCTGCGAATCTATCGGGACAACTGAGGGTCGGATATGGGACCGCAACGCAGGTAGAGCAAAAGCGTGTATTCACGTGACAATCAGAGGAAGCCGATAATAAAGCATATTCACTTGTTCTATGATGTGTCCACATCCTGCTGACTCATGCATTGAGGACACGTGATCACACGTACAGCATATTGAGCACGACACTGACGGAACAAACAAGATGATCATTGGGGTGAGATGAAATCAGAAAACCATGACAACATATTGCAATTTATATTTCCCAATGCCCCCACAGATTCAAACGTATTTGAGTGTTTATCTGCGCATCCTATCCATGTACCGTACAAGCCTCTATTTAGTGGGATAATGGTTCGTTTACCACGGTGAATGCACATCGGGCTACAAGAATCAGATACACATTGATTGTTTTCTAAGGTGTTTTCTGATCGAAAAATATAGAGGTTCCGACTGCCACGCCAGGTGTGTCAGGCGACGAGTCACGACTGATATGCGTAATCACCCAATCTGGGTAGGTTACCCCTCAGTAGACTATGGTTCGCGCAAAGTAGTAAATTCTCGAACGAACCAATCATTCCGTTTGAACTAGCAACGTGACAAAAACAAATTCTAGTCAGATAGAAAAACAAACCAGACGACCAGACTTTAGACAGGTTTGACACATGTGCCGAAATGTAGTCAGCGTATTCTGGCCAATGTCTGTTGTTGGTCTGGGTGTTTTCGTGCTAGATAGAGGTTGAAATGATGATGATAATGGTATCACGGGTGAGAGAGGAGATAAACACGGCTATGAACACCCCGTAAAAAGTGCTCAGAAGCAGCCAAAAAACTGTTTACGGTCAGTCCCTATATCAACGCGTTATTCAACATTCGGAGCCACTCTGACAGTTCCACTTAAGGTATCACGAGTAGTATAACTGCCGAATATAGTCCGTGCCCTATCGCCGGACAGGACTCCAGAATCGGAGTGAGAAACACATGTACAGCACAAAATCGGTGACCAAGCATGATTTGGGTTGATATTGTGGTCTGTCTAATGCAGTATCTTATGATATACTTCAAAATCTACAATCGGGTTTGAAAGCACAAGATGACACGAAACGTGTCGTTGTCAGAACTGATCGAGTGATAAACGTCTATCACTAGGAACGCACTCCGGCGGATCAGCTAGCATAGCACAAGCGTGGTTTGAAATCGTCCAGGAGTTTGTGAACAGAGCAAGGGTAGAGGGATTTGGAGGGAAAAAACACATTGACTTACCATCTCTTTACTGAATACCAATATGTTTCGTGCGGCCAGATCCCGATGTACCAGTCCAATTTCTTCCAGATAACCCATCCCACGGGCAATTTGTACAGCGAATCGATGTAGTGTGGTCACGGGAAAACTGGGTCGTAGCTCAGGCTCACGTAGACATTCCAAAAGTGAACGCAGCGGAGCAAGCTCAGTAACCTATAACGACAAACACAGGAAAGGTGATGTTCAAGGGCGAACGTTGCGCTATGTGTATGGGTGACTTGTTACCACCGAAACAAACTAGTAATCTACATGTGAACAAAAACCTCTTAGCTAACTCGGACACAGACTTATCAAGGTTTCTAGTTGACTGGTGTCCCGATGTTTCACATTGAATATTTGGCCCTTACAGCCTGAAAAGGTTTCAAATGAAGTTGGAACCGATAGATAACAGCCATAGAATTCTCAGCGCTGAGTTCTTTAAACTTGGAGACGAAATTTAAGCACACGATCTTTTCTAATTTAGGGCTCGTCAATAGTCTTTCCTCACGCTTTCGGGGCTACAAACATGTTCTCCTAAATGGTAACCTCAAATGTGTGACTGTGTACAATTTTACTTGCCGCATTCCTCTTCATCCTGGATTCTTTCCCCGTTCGAAATTCTAATTCCTAGAACACCAAACTTTTTTTCCCTTACAACAGCGCTTTCAAGACAGACTTGGTTGGTCGCATTGTTTGGGAGCTTAGTTATGCGTGTGATTAATTCGCCAACAGCGTCATGTTTAATGAGGATAACTGTTTGTGTTAGAATTGTGAAAAGTTCAGTAGCCTCGGTAGGATTCGAACCCACGTATAGCCACCGCCTACGCTTTTGTACAGCACACGCTCTACCAGCTGAGCTACGAGGCCACACCGACAGTACTGATCTTTTCACATTTGAATTACCCATCCAACTGAACTTTTCACAATCCTAACATAAGACTTCAATCTACCAAACAACCATTTCCACAGATGACTGTTTGCATATCAATCGCAATGAACCTGTGCACAAGCCATGACACGTTTCCAACTATTATCGCTACACACCACCGCACAGATCTGAATACCGTTATCCCTTATCTAGCTTATGTTGTAATCAAAACGAACATTCAATATTACGAATTTTGAGGAATCATCTTTTTCGTTAGTATCAGCTACACTGTATGGACACTTTTGTAATTGCTATCTTCTGTAAAAATTTTCTCCGCTATATGCATTGAAAGTATCCGAACTTCATCCTATGAATGCACAACACCTAAGCTGACTGGAAGACTCAAAACTGCGCAACTGCATATCTATTTGACTGGACCTAGTAAATTAGGATTTAATCACATAAACACAATAACACAGTATATCATAATGCTACTCCACACAATAACTTATTTCTCATTTTAACAGTTATATTCAGTCGAGCAACATTCGTTTCGTGGAGCAAGAGAAGAAAATGACTTGTGACCCCAACAGTAAAACCAGAGCTATTGCGTTAGAAATTAAAAAAAGAAAACGGTTGTCGATCCCATGTCCCATCCTGGTGTAAACGACATTGCCCAATTCAAACAGAAATATAAACTTGTATTCACAATCTAGCGTATAGGGCAAACAAACAGAAGAACGAACTTCTGCCTGGTTACGTTTATTACACGTCTGATTGTGATGATCAGATGGGCTTAAAGCTATAGCAAACGGTCTAGGGACCTGGAGTATCAAACTATATAAGCCCCAACAGGGCAGGCAGGGGATTAGGTCGGTGTTCAAGCGATTCAAGTCGTTGTCACTAGCACGCTTTGAACCATGGGGTTCGAGGTACGAACCTGACTACCACAACCCAACTTTGATGGAAAGCAGGTTTACTGACGTCCAGTTTTCTACCACTATGCTAATGGAATCTTACGTGGTTTATCATACCAAGTCCCGGAGTTTAGGTTGCTAGTTCCCATAACTGAAGGGTGACTATGGGGTAAACCTGTTCTGTTGTTCATCACAGATTAGTGTGTAACAGAAAATTCAGAAGACAGCAAGGCGAGGATCATCATGGCCGATAACACTTAACGGTTGAACGACAGGCATTATTAGCTAATTTGGAGGCTGTAAAAAATTCATAGTGGAATACGCTCAGTTGGGCGTTAGATGAAATGGAGAAAAAAACTGAACCCACTGAAAAGCGGCACGGAACATTTTCCCGACCAAACTGGCTGCATATAGCTAGGAGGAGTTTAAGAATATATGAAGACAAAGCACTATCAGACAAGGCGCAAGAAAGCCTGGTTGAGAAATGTCGGATGAGTGTACAACAATAGAGTGAATCTAGCATAGGAATAAAGCAGTGTCTATTAGATGATTTAGAAAGGTGTGAGGCCCTAACATATTTTGCACAAAGAGGGTTCTATTAACAGGAATAATTGCTATGCTAGTTCTTCCTCTGATTTTTTTGAATGCATGGACATTGCCATGTATTTTCTACAAAAGTAATGACCTGCGTATGGTCGGAGGTGGATATCTTGGGTTGTAGCTAGTCACTCTTTCTTTGTACCTCGCAACATTTCAAGTATGCTGATGATATCGCCATGATATTGCATCTAACTGGCCGTATACAACACAAACTTATCCCACCTTGTTACATATTCCACTTCATCCGGTTTTAATCTTAATCCCGAAAAATGCCTTGAATGTATTTTTACTTTAAACAGTTCCCCTTCTCCCTTCGACAACGTCCAGATTCAGGAAAAGCCGATGAGTAGGGTCAGCCATGTGAAGTACTTAGGTGTCACACTTGGAAGTAACCTTCCCTGGTCTTCACATACTCAAACGATTGCCCGCAAGTTGAAAGTTCTCTCTTTTCAGATAAGAAGACTGTACCACTTCTGTTCTGGATTGTCGGTGATAGACGCTTTTGTTCAACAATGTGTTCTCCCTATACTTCTTTAACGCTCCCCTGTAATTTTCCCAGGTTTGCTGAAGGCCGATTGCAAGTTGCTAAGGCGAGGCCTCTCAATGATCAGACGTGTTTCCTCAGTGCCGTTATCTGTTCTGATTGACAACATGTGTAATGCTCATATTGATGCATGCTTGAAGTTGGCAGGCAATATTCTACCTGATTGCACCTATCCCTTACACATTGACCTGCGTGCATGCAAATCCCATCCCTCCACTCAAGCCAAATACAAACTCACCCCAACTTGCGTACAGAAACTCTTTGGTACCCTAACTTGCCCGGGAAGTGTTCTTTCACAGCTTTATGATGCACTTTGTAGTTCATTCGTATTTTTGTACGTTTGACGTCCCACTTTTCTTACCAGTATTGTGACGATGGTCTGAAAGCTTGTATATAACACGCTGAAGCTCCAATGCAATACAATACAATACCAATGCTCTCGTACGATCAAGCGTCTCGAATAGCCTCTGCCGAAGATCCCCTACTCATTGCCTTCCCGTGGCGGAAGTGTTCTACCACCGCAGTGAGGGGACGAAAAGCCAACAGCCGGGATCATAACCGAGTCGGTGAACCACTGGTAGTNGAAGAGGCGTACGAACCACACACCTTGGTGATTGTGGTAGTGGTCACCGGTTCAATCGGGCATTGAAGTGCGCTGGGCACCTTGGACGTTTGACCCCATTCGAAGGGAGTATGATCCGATGAACTGAACACCGACCTCAAAAAGATTGCGATTTTCACACACGATCCCGCTGCCTTGAGTGTCAGGCTTGGGGTAGCCGAAGGCTTTGGTTGTGAATTCTCCAGGAAAATGCATCTGCTTTGGCCTGAGTAACGTGGCAGTATTCCCCCCCCCACATGCAAATCATGGAGATTTTTTACTTTATAAAGATTCAGTTTATAAAGATTATTGTATCGTGATTTGTTTGGCACACAGTCTGGCCTCAGACGTGTATGAAGTATAAATATATAAAAAGCAATGATTACGAAGCAAATGGAAACGGTGCGGTAAACAGCCATTCAATGATGAATGATAAAGGGACATGATATGGGATTAATCAAAGTGTATCATAGTATTTGACAAACAGCAGACGCAAAAACGCACGACTACTGTCTACCAGGCCCCTCTAATTTCAGCCGGGTCTATAATTAGGTTTATTAGCGCAGAAGCATTGTGCTTCATCAAACGACAACAAACACTGAGACTGCGACATGAATGCAAGTCCGTATACATAGGTCGGGAACGAAAGATGGGTTGGAGAGCGCAAGGTGCTGAGTCCAAATCAGACAATAACAAAAGTGGCAAAAACAAAAATAACGGAACTAGTTCGAGTCGGAGAGCATGCGGAGGTGCGAAGAACTTACAATTTTCCACGAATCCGGTTCCATACAAACACCATACAGATGTACAATATCGGGATGATTGATTCGGTGCATCACAGCGATCTCATTGAGAAATTCCGACGGATTTTCAATCAGACCGTGTGAATCGAGGATTTTCACGGCCACTTGGATGACACCACCAGAATCTGGACGCCATACGCCCTGAGCACGATGAGGACAAAGAGACAGAGAAGAGATGACAAATAATACAAACAAATGGGCGAGTTTTTCTATGGTTAAAATATCAGTCAACTATGTTGAGGTAGAATCTCCGAGAAAGTGAAACGCATAAATAATTGAAATACACTTTCTTTTAAAATGGAAATGAGATCGATCGCCAAAATCATACCGAGTATCGAAAAACTGTATTCGTCTAAGGTGTTTTGTTCGGATGAAAAAGGGAATATACAGTCACGAAATAAAAATAGAGTTACCATCCTGAGTGATTACGGGGAGGTAATGAATGAATAAATTATTTTTCAGTATTTGTGCAAAGCATTGTGCTGTATGCGAATCCCACGAGTTAAAGAATAGAGCCATGGCACTCACCCTGATGCTCTTTTACTTGTTTGTACAAGATTTTAAATCTTATCCCCGACGATAACTGTCAAGTGTAACTGGTATCTGGTGATTTGAAAGTCAGAACTACCTTATTTACCGAGGCTGAGTAAACGCGACTAGTAATCATTAGACCGCGGTATCAGACTGTAAAATCTTGATTGAACAAGCCGGGAGAATAACCGGAGAGTAATGAAATAAGACGGGAGAACAAACTGGTACACAAAAGTAAAAACGGTTTTTTCGGAAGTACGAAACTGTCAGAGTTTTCGGATTTTGAGTGAAAGACGTAGCACCTTACCAACGCCATTAAGGATGTGAGTTGAACTACGAAGATTTGTCTGTGGTAACTCCAAGGTGTAGCAGAGTGGACTCTGGGTAAAAGAACTTTCACATTATACAATTTTTTTTCGATTAGGTAAGTAAACGAACCGCATCTAAGCGAAGCGATGCACTGGTATTCATACACAAGCTTGCCCAAACAGAAGCGAGTAAAATTTAGGCGATTTGGGATACCTTCGGGTATGGGATAACCTGACCGAAGAAGGTTAGCTGTGAATACGTTGTGACTTACCGCAACAAATAAGCAGTCGCGAACAAACAGCGGCGGCACTACCAGGGTGTGGTGGGTTTCAGGCTGGTCATCTGGCTCCTGTTTAAAAGCCGCATAAGCCCAGTGACGGCGTCGTGATAAAGGTCGACGGGACTGGCCTTTTAAAACTAAAGTCATTGACCCCCTCACTTCTGAGGTGAGGGATTACTTCCTGCTACCTTGCAATTCACACTTGGTTGTGCAAAGGCTAGAGGCGCACCCTCAAAATAAAAAACGCCGAGTGACACTGGGGACGTCTCTCGTACAAAACTCCCAAGGAACTCCATGATCGTCTGGAGCCGGCTTATCCTTTCCAAGGAGCCAGCCGCAGTCAAGTATCTATCAAGCACACCAGAAAACCAGTATCTGTGGGAAAACAGAAACCCCCACAGATATACGCATGCACATATTTCGAATGCATTCTGCCACAAATCTCGGGCTGGCAATACATCAACCTAACTAATTTTAGTGATGGAGATTATTATCATTAGGGACAGAGCAGACTGAGCGTGACTGCTAGGGTACGAGTGATATCAGAGTTGACTTGATCGAGTAGTCCCGCGATCAACTGGTCTGAAAAGTGTGCGCTCAATCAACGCGAACTAAACACAGTCCGCGTGACGGATGGATTACCAATCGTTGTAGCCGAATCTATTTTTTTTCATCTACTTCATTTTAATACAAAACGTAGTGAGATTAGCGACCTTATTCGTTTATCACATGATACAGATGAAATAGTCCACGTCGGGCGAACGACGCTGGTTTGCCTTTTTTGGAGTTGGTGGGGTACTACCGTATCAGTTTAAAATACGTTGGTAGTAGATAGTTCCACTTTGAAGTTGTAATTAGTTCTTTCCTGTAGAGTGATTTGGATTGTTTAGAATACCGACTTAAAAGTGTTTGGAAACATTGCAGCTTCGGTAGTTAGATTTCAATTTTTAGTCTATGCAACCAGCACCTTGTATTTACGTGTAATGATTTCGGTTTATGTTCATTGAATACCTATTTGTTCGAACAATGATGAAGGAAGTAGACGGCTAGGAGCCAACTCCCGAAAAATAGTCATGCGAACAGACTTTTCCAGAACTGATTACCTTTCACACTGAATTCCTCCCTCCCCCACTCGCAAGTGTGAACACGACCATTGGGTCGTATGCCAGGTATTTTCTGTGAATCTACCAGGTGCCAACATTTTGTGACAATTCCGCCAGGTGTCAATGGTCAGAATCAGGGTTATTCATACTAACTTATGGCAGCTTGGCCCAGGCCTAGACCGCTGAGTTTCATCTGACTATTTTCAGAAACACCCCAGCTGGGAACGTACACTGAGGACAGAGACAACTAAACCCATCAACGGTCGATCGCTGGAATCGGCAATACGCAGTGTTGGAAGCTACAAACACCCGCCAACAACACAACAATCTGGACGCTCGATTGGATGGAAGCCACATTTCGTCCTGTGCATACTGAACCGAACTGAACTGCCTACACACTGAGAGGAAATGCCACTTCGTCCTGTCATGGAAAAAGCTCGTAAACCCTGTTGTTACAATGCGGAATCCCGCGTGTATTGTGGATTATCGTGCGAGTTAATTCGTTTGAGTCGGTCATTGACATCGGCAGTGGTAACTACTGCATAATGTACAATCATCGTTCCATTTCGTGATTGGCAAAGCTGCTGGGCCCAAGTGATACAATTTAACTTTTCGCAAGAGTTCGTAAATCGTGATCGGACGATCAAAGAGAAAAACGTGCCTGTCTCTTAATGATGACGGTTATTAATTTGCACAGGAATGGAGTTCCGTGAAGCGAATTTCAGCCTTATTCAGCGTTCGTGAAAAACAGTTGAGCATCACACCTAGTTAGGGATAAGTAACTTCGAATGCAAGGTAGATATGGAGATATTGGTTTAGGAAATTGACAATACTGAAGAAGATACGGATGAGTATGAAAAGAATACAGTGAGGAATGCGACCCGTGCCCTAAATAAGAAACATTGAAAATAAGCCAACTGCATAGTAGAGACAACACGATAAACGACTAACAACTAATTTATTTATGATACTATACATTCATATAGAAAGATTGTTCAACGTATTTTCCAATATCAATTATCTCATAAGAACCAATTTGAGAGCCGGAAACCTGTGTTCAACTATGCTTTGTTCTGTTTTCCAAACATCCCCTCCAAAGAAAGAATAGGTGAAAGGAGTGAACAAACTAAGTTAGCTTCTACGATGCTCTCCCTAGAAGTGTTTGTGGGGGGAAGGAACACTATAATAATAACGAATATATATATATATATATGTGTGTGTGTGTGTGTGTGTGTGTGTGTGTGATGCTCTGAACTGGAGACTTAGACCGGCATGTGCACTGTTGCATCGGAGAACAACGGTCACGTCTTACACCTACCACACACACGAAGACAAGTACAGTTGAGTCACTCGAACTCTGAGATCGAATGCCCGTATGATGTTCCCGTTTTAGGTTGAGTCAAGTGACACATACACCGAAAACGATGAAGCAGACAAATAGCACAAGTCATCAATCAGTTGAGTTTACCGTTGTTTGAGATGGTGAGTCAAGTGACTGGAAATGAGGACAGTGATCGCCATGACCACGACAACGCACCGAAGTTACCGCCAAAATGGAATTAACTGACTAAAGAAAGNACACCACATCATGGAGTTGAGAGTCAGAAGAAGTACGCTACAGCACAGCCGTATGAGTGTGGTAACTGATTGCAGGTCTAGTAGAATACGGAAGGGTAACGTGACGATGCAAAATGGGTCACAAAACACCGTGCCGGGTGTAAGTTGTTGGCAAATTGCATGTTTAATGTTCAATGTTCTTCAATTAGAGGCAGAGAGTAATTTCCCGTATGAGCCTCATCACCACAGACTCGA